AAAGACTAATAATGAACGAATCTATGTTTTTGAATGAATCTCCAAAACAAATGCTAAAATGACTCATAATGCTCAAAAAATAAAAAACTTACTGGTCACCGCCTACGTGATTAACAATGTAGCCTACAGGAATATAACTAATCTGAATTAATCAGTTTTAAGGTTTTCAAAAAACAAAACAAAAAATCTAATCCCCTGAATGAATGATATAATGACTCAATCTTCAAGAGAAAAAAAATTCACTGGACACCACTCACTGGTGTAAAAAAAAATGTAACCTCTCTTGAATGGTTACTGAATGAATCAGTGAATGAATCTGTTTTTAGTTGTTCAAAAGATTCAATGAATCACTGAGATGAATCAAAATCCCCACTGCAAGTAAGTGTAATGTGTGTATATGAATGTGAATGAACTTAAAAAGGATCAAATGTGAACAATTCTGTTTTGAAACGAATCTCCTGAATAAATGATATGCCTCAAACTCCTCAAAACATAAAATATAACATAACCTCTAGAAGAAGTTACTGAACAAATCAGTGAGCCAATCTGGATCTGTTTTTAGGTGTTCAAAAGATTCAGTGAATCACTGAGATGAATCAAAATCCCCAATACAAGTGTTGTGTATGTAACTGAAAATAAGATAAGACGAGTTTTAATTTCGAACGTCTCTGTGTTGAACTAATCTCTTGAATGCATTCTAAAATAAATCATAATCCTCAAAAACTGCAGAACCTCCAGAAGTAGTTACTGAACGAATCAATGAATGAATCTGGATGTGTTTTAGGTGTTTTTCAGAATCAGAATTCGATGACTGATTGGAATGAATCACAATCCTTGCTACTAATCCGGATTGATGCTTGAGGAAACGTGATAGGCATGTTACCATGAGCTGTTTCTGCACGCGCTCGTTCTTCTCTGCCTCTGTGACGCGCTCCTCCTCGTTGCGGTGGTCCTCAATGCCCTCCACCTGCAGCTCAGCACTGTAGGTGCTGTTGTTCTCCTCATGATCATCATGATCGTTCTCCAGGGGTTCCTCCATCATGGACATGGGCGCAGCCATGGGGGCAGCAACCACAGGAGACGACATAACATGCTGCAACTCCTCACGGGTCTTTTCCAAATCGTCCTGTACCTCTTTAGCCTGAGAGAATTGAAGAGGTCCATTGTAAGGTGAAAAATGTATCTATATATTCCACTTTTATGATTTCTTCATTAATCTAGTAGTGTATACTGTTCAAAACTCACCCTGTTCTGCCATTCATTGGCTTCTTCTTCCTTGACTCTCCTGGCTTCCTCCAGCAAGGCAATCTTTGCAGTGTATTCTGCCAAGTCTGCTGCCTATGTATAAAAAACAATCAAGCTTCAGTTCACTATAAATAAAAGGACTTCCCAATTACATTACACAATTCATCACAGTATATGTAGTCTGTCACTGTCATAAGGTGTGTTTTGTGTGTGAAGGTGTCTCCCGCTCACCAGCTGCTCCTGAGTTTTCATCTGGTCCTCAGCTTGCCTGGCCAGCTCTTCTTTAGCCATCAGCGCCGCTTGTCTCTCAGCCTCCAGACGAGCCGCCTCCTCCTCCACCCGCCGCCTCTCTTCCTCCAGGATCCGTGCCCTCTCAAACTGCTCTTTCAGATCTGAACAATACACAAAATCAACCATAAGGGGGCAGCAGTCATTCAATTATACAACATCGTTTATTGCAAGCATGTACTAGTATGGTGGTCAATCACAGCATTCTGCAGTGATACATTTTCTATAAAATATGCAATATAATATATTAATAATAATAATAATGATAATTAGCATTATTACAAATCATTCTTTTTTATGTTTTTTTTATATTAAATATTTAAAACTAAATTTAATTAATTAAATATATATTTAACATACAATAAAATGTGCAATGTAATAATGCAATGCAATGTTTTTAAATATTAAAAAAATAATTTATATATATATATATATATATATATTCACACACCTTCAGGGTGATACAAGACATTCCAGTTTTCATTGGGATTTCAATGTTAATTTCAAACAAGACCATTAAAGAAAATATGTATTACTTTTTTGAAGAGAAAAATATACTTTTTTTCTTACCTCTTTCAACCTTTTTGGTCTGCTCTTCAAACTGGAGAAGCTTCATCATCATCTCCTGCTTTTCTCTCTCCACCCTCTCCTTTTCTCTCTCTGTTGCCTCCCTTTTCTTTTTCTCATTCTCTAGCAGGGCTCTGGGATGAAAACAGGTAGCAAGGCAGCAAACACATTTAAAGGGGTCACATGATGCTGCTAAAAAGAACATTATTTTG